GCACTATTCCTCACAACTGTGTGTTTACACCTCGTTTCCCAGGTGTTATATCAATGACTTGTATCTTGATCCTCACACCGGTGATTTCCATTTGATTCCCATGTTTTCTCTTCAGATTCTGATGTGATTCTATGTTTTTATTACAGGAATGAGCCCCTTTGTGTTGCTGTTATCTTGAACTTGATTAGAGCTTCTCTCCTGGAGTATTCCTGACAAGTTTCCGATGTATATCTAGTATATTGGATGTGTGATGACATGCTTTCTGTGCTGTTTAATGTTCACTTGTGATGTTACAAGTATCTGTTGTGTCACTCCTGTAGTTCTTGCTCTCTCAGAAGGAATTCACTGCTTCAGTGTGATTTAAACACTGCAAATAAGCACCTTCACCTTAACGGACCTACCTTTTAAAATAAATTTACATTCCCTGCAGCACACATTTGTACTGCTAAGTATTGTCTACAGTGTGGTTGCCATGGTAAACAACTGCTTACTGTACGAAATGGAAACACTGACCCTGACAGATCGTTTTTGTCTTTTTATCCTTTGAAGTATTTGTTCTCTGGGAGTTGACAGGTGTGTCCAGAGTTGACACCTACCTTGGGAAGTGAATCATCAGCCCCGACCAAACTGAAATGAACTGAAAGATTGTCGTTTTTCTTTTAAAAAGACAGAATCTTGACCTTCTCACTAGCTTAGGCTTGATCACGGGTCAGCTAAATATGTTGTTTTAACTTCATTAAAAAAAATGAAGCTAAATGCTGGGAGGATGGTCTATTTAGCACCTGTGAGGGGCAGCGGCAAAATAGGTTTAGAGTAAATACAGCAAAGAAATTTAAAAACTCTGTGCTGTTAAATTATTACATACTGACTGTAAATAACACTTCAATGTTTTTCGTGCTGCCCTAAAAAACTCAAAATGGAAAATGTATTTTATTTTGTTGTATGTATATATATATATATATATATATATATACATACACACACTTGGGTCAGCTGACATCAGTGGTTGAGGTACTAGTATATACATAAAGCATAAACGCTCCAACTGGCTTTTAGTAGTGATTCGTTTTAACAAAAGGTTCCAGGATGTTCTTTATAATGAATTGTATGAATGTAGTGAAGTAGTATCAACTTTAAATAGAAATACTCACAAAACATAGAACCCTCCACTTTTACGCTTGTGTGGAGGAACACAGAAGTCCCTTTTTTTGCTAGTTGGTGGTGACTGTTCCCACATCATGATTCACTTATTTACAACGGCCGTAAATGAGTGACTATCTCAAAGAAAGAAAGAAGGTTTTTTTTTTAAAGTTATATAAATAAAACGGCGTGGAAATTATAAGTCTATCCACTGAGCAACATCTAAATGAAACAGATGATGATGAATGGTCAGAAAGTGCGCTTTCATACACTGACGGCGTTTCCTGTCGTGGATGGCGACCACTTTCTGGTCTAGACGGTGTTTGAATCATTCTGTGTGATTCATTAACAAACCGTATCCTGTAGACATCAGCAAAATTTCCTGCTAAAGTGGGACTGTTTAAATTGCATGCCCTTACAGCAACATCCAGAAGTCGAGTAAGGTTTGCAGCCTTTTCTTTGTCATTTTCTTTTGTTCTGTATTTTTTAAACATAACATTATTTTACTGTGGAAGTACTTGGGGATTTTTGGGAGATTCTTCAGACCGGACAGGTTTGGACGGATTTCTCCTCGGAAGATTGTCCTGCTTAATCATTGGACCAATCGGATTCCTTGCCAGCGCCCAAAGGTGCCGGAAGCCGCACTCCAGAGTTCTTTGGGGCAAAGAACACACCTCCTTCAACAGTCAGCCGTGAGCAGCAACAGTGCTGCTACAAAAGTGGGTGGCGGAAGGCAAACCTGTCTTTTCAGCCCTGAGCCTACTTTTACTTTGACTCGCGGATGTCCGACACTGGCGGTGGATCTTGGACGACGGATACCGGAGAGAGAGAGAGCTCTACTAGTTGCAGTTTCCCACAGAGCAACAGGTAGATGTGATGATACACCTACAGGGCAGTGCCATGTGCAGGGAAGAGGAATGAAGGCCTGTAGTTAAGTTGTCTCGTACACTACAGAAGACTCTTTCTTCTCGACTTTTCTGTTTCCATTGTTTTCAGGTGAAGCCTCGATGAGAGCTTACTCCTTTTTTTAAGGACCACGAAAATCCTATTTTGGAAATGCCACACTGGGTGTTTTTGGAGTTCATTTGAGATGGAGTAATCCTACCTCTTAGATCGGCGTGGCACTTGCGCTCGTTGTTTTTAGACATCCACCTTTTTAATTTTTTTTTATTTCCTCCCAATCTTTAAAGCATCTCCAGCAACATTTTTCATCTTTCACACGGGAGTGGGGAACAGCATGGTGCGGACCTTGAAGCGCGGACCGTGCGGAACGTGTTACTAGACCACGGGTTCAGGAAGGAAGGCAAGATGTTGGCATAGCTGTTGAGTTAAAAACCCTGCTATGCCGACAAATTGCCATCTTTCTCTTCCCTATGCTGCCAAACAAACAGTGAATTTGTTGTTGTTGTTTTTAGATTTATTTATTTATTTTTTAGCTATACCTGCGCTCAAAACCCTCCAGGAATATATATGCATATTTTTTAAATGTCGCTTTCATTTTTGTTTTGAACATGTGCGAACTCTTCCTATGCTGATATAATGTGATGTATGCTGTTGAATGTGGGCTAACTGTGTATAATCTACCTGTTACTGGGGCAACCTACAGGTTCACACAGCACAGGCCCTGATTATGTATACATCATTTACAGTAAGCAGACAAAACAAAATGCATGGTTTACTCTCTCTCTCTCTC